ACTAGTGCAGGAGTTGATGAGGTACCGTGCCATTTATTTGGAAGTTGTGCTGAATTTATTGCCAAACCTTTTACACTGATCATCAATGAATCTTTTGCAACTGGAACTTTTCCAGACAAATTAAAAATATCAAAAATAATACCTATTCATAAGAAAAATGATAAAAAACTTGCAGCTAACTATAGACCAGTAGCAATCCAATCTGCTTTTTCCAAGGTGTTTGAGATAATTTTCCTTAATAGACTCATGCCCTTCTTAGAAGAAAACAACATACTTTGTAAAAATCAATATGGATTCCGGAAAGAAAGATCAACTATAGACTCAGTTTTTAAATTAATGACAAAAATTTATGACAACATTGACTTAATGGAGGACTCTCTCCTCCTTTTATATGACATGACCAAAGCCTTCGATTGCCTGGATCATGAGATACTTAAGACCAAACTAATAAAAATTGGTATTAGGAATAATCCCCTAAACTGGATAATGTCATTCCTTAAAAACAGATACCAAATTGTAAATATTAGAAACACCAGTGAGACGAATGTTATAAAGACTTTTAAATCAAATATCTCTGACTGTATCAACACAGGAGTCCCGCAAGGATCAAATCTCGGACCAGTGTTGTTCCTTCTGTATATTAATGATTTGCCTGAAGAGATCCAGGACGGGGAACTGTTGATGTTCGCAGATGATGTGGGGCATCTTACCTATGGAAAAGACCGTATAACAGTTATAAGGAAAACTCAGGAAGGAATTAATAAAATGGTTAATTGGAGCGCCAATAATAAAATGGCACTTAACAGTTCAAAAACCAGTCTAATTCAATTTTACAATAGGAAAGAACCGGACTACTCACCACTTTTAAAAATGGGAGATACTCACCTAATGAAAGAAAAGTCAGCTAAATACCTTGGAATAACAATATCTGAAAATTTATCCTGGGAAAACCATATTGATAATATAGCAAAAAGATTAATAGTTGTGTGCCATCTTATTCATAGACTTCAGAATATAATCGATAGAAACATCCTGTTACAAATTTATTATGGTTGCTTCCATAGTGTAATGGCCTATGGCATAATACTATGGGGAAATAGTACTGAAGCTCAAAGAATCTTTATGTTACAAAAACGAGCAGTAAGATCCATCTGTAAAATGAGAGGTCGGGACTCCTGCCGAGACCTTCAAGGAACTTGGCATTTTAACTCTACCAGCAGTTTATATTCTGGAATGTGCCGTTACTGTTAAAGCCAAACCTGAATGTTTTACCAACAACAATAGTATTCACAACTATAACACCAGACAAGCACAAAATCTACATGTACAACAAGTAAGAACAGCATTAGTTAAAAAAAGTCCCTATCACATGTGCATAAAATTATACAACAGTTTACCTCAAAATTTAAAAAGTGAAGATCAAAATGGCCTCAAGAAAAAATTAAAAATGTACCTGGTAGAGAAGAAAATATATAATGTAAAAGAATTCCTTGAAGAGTAACTGAATAAGAGAAAAAGAGTAAATATAATACATTGACGACCACGGCGTAGATACGCTTCCAGTGGGATATTAACAAGTATCAAGTAAGTAAGTAACATCACTTAGCAGTGGCGGTTCGAGGACCTTGTCAAGGGGGGGCTACCAATAATGCAGGGGGGGGGGTCTGGGGGTCCTCCCCCCAGGAAAATTTGGAATTTTCAAGGCAGTTTGGTGACTTTCTAAAGCCATTTTTAACACCTTAAACCATGCCCAATTGTCCATAAACTCCCATTTCACCTGTTGTTTGTCATGAACAAATAGACATTTAAAAAGTTAAACTATGGCGATTGCATTCATGGATTTCAAAACACACTGTAGACTACGCCCATATCCTCCTAAAAGCCGTTTGGGTGACTTTCTACAGCCAGTTTTAACGTCTAGAACTGTGTGCAAAACCTCCCATTTCCCTATTTATTTGTCATGAATAGTCATTTTTAAAACTAACTATGACGATTGCATTTATAAATCTCAAAACATATTGTGGGCTACGGCCATATCCTCCTAAAAGCTTTTTACAGACTTTCTAAAGCCATTATTAATGTCTATATATGTGTTCAACTGTCCATAAACCTCCCATTTTACCTGTTATTTGTCTTTGTCATGAGCAAGTAGACATTTTAAAAACAAACTATGACGAACTTGCATTCATGAATTTCAAAACATAGGCCTATTGTAGACTACGAAGCCATATCTCCTAAAAGCCGTTTGTTGACTTTATAAAGCCATTTCTAACGGCTAGAACCCTTCCATTTTCCCTGTCATGCAAGCAAGTAGACACGATTTTAACCTTACGTTTTTATCCATTTCATAGATCTGTCACAATATGTAGCCTATATTATCGAATTCAGTAATAGCATTGAATATAAACTTTAACACTAGTGTTTACATATAGGCATTGGTAATAGGCTACTGGTGCTACCGCTGATTGCTGATTGATGCCTGTGTGTGTAAAGTTAGTGGCTAGCAGACAATTTGACAACTAAATGAAACATCAGGAAATCAGCTGTTTACCGGTCCTCGCTCGCGCACTCGGTGCTCACCTTTGCCGATCGAAGTATATAACACAACCCTTTGCCATAGCATGTCAACAGCTGACTGTTTTAAAAATTGGATGATGCGTACAACTTTCCATAGCGTAATATTGTTTTATTCGTTGTGCTATTATCCACAAAGTTTATCTATGTGGAATTTAATACTACTCCTGCCATCGCTTATTAAGTTTAATAAAAAGTAGGCCTACATTGATGTCTGTTTTATAACATTGTGTGTTTTAAGGACAAAATGTATGTTTAGATTTATTTTTCCAGGGTTCAAGGGGGGGGGGGCTTTAGCCCCTGTAGCCCCCCCCTTGGAACCGCCACTGTCACTTAGGTTAACACTCACTACGCTCTTACTACACTTGTAAGGTAAATAGCTACAATTAACTTGACAACTCAAAACATTATTACTGTTGCAACAATATCCTACAAATATTAAATTAGATTATAAGATAAAGTAAGGACAGATTGTATTGAACTAATACAAACTCAAAACTCACAAACTAATACAACTGTAATAAATTGAATTAATAATTGAGCGAAGCTCTTATACTACACTCCTGCTTTTGTTTTACAAATACTCCACCTGAACGGCTGAAGCGATCAGCACGAAATTTAGCACAGACATAGTAACCAACTATGGGAAGGTATAAATATAATATAAATGAGACGTGAATGGTCGAAATCGGTTAAGAAATGGCGGAGGAGTTCAAAAGACAAATTTCGTGTTGGCATATTAATTAATTACTAGTAAACACGTTGCTCGAAATCGAGCAATTGCAAAGGAGTAAAGTAGTTTTTTAAAAACAAATAAAAGTCATCATAATTTCTGATGAGTTTTAAAGACTTTGAATCGAAAAATAAATAACAGCAATTAAATTATACAGCTGATCAAAATATAAACAATTATGTTCTTCATAAGGATAACATGGGAACTTTCAAAGCCACTGGGCAGAGCCCAAGCGACATTTTCAAAAATATAAGGCCAGTTTGCAAATCTACGCGACACGCTCTTTCCAATGAGACGTCAATGGATAAAATCGGTTAAGTAATGACGGAGGAGTTCAACCGACAAAGTCTCATGTAGCGTATTAATTATATAGATATATATAAAAGGCAAAGCCCTCACTGACTGACTGACTGACTCACTCATCACTAATTCTCCCACTTCCCATTTACCTAGGAGGCTGAAATTTGGTACACTGATTCTTGAGGCATTAAATATGAAAACGAAGTTGTTTTTATTCTGATCGGACTCTCGGGCTCCGCCCCAGTGGCTCTGGAGTTTCCCATGTTAACCTTATGAGTACTCATATTTAAATAGAATTAATGAATCTTAACAGCTGTTTGAATTAAACAAGTTGGTTCTGTTCTATGATGTGCAATCTAGCAAAAAGTTGCAAGGATTACCAACAGGGTGCAGCACTATTATTTTTTTTAATTTATGACAACACTTAATTTGCAACCAAAAGGTGAGTGAGCGTAGCGAACGAACTTCAACCTGCAGGCGAGTTAGCGTAGCGAGCGAGCTAACCTGAAGGCAAGTGAGCGCAGCAAACAAGCTCCAACCTAAAAGTGAGTGAGCGTAGCAAACGAACTTCAACCAAGATGTGATTGAGCCATGCGAACGAGCTCATCTTGAAAATTAAGAAGTTAAACGAGGCAAAGCCCGCGGGTACAGCTAGTATAGATATAAATTGCATTGACGTGAACCATATGCAGCATTGACTTTAGGTACTGGAAGTAGATATACCATTCACAAGAAACAGGTACAGCATTGACTTTGGATACTGAAACTAGACATTTTATTTATGTGAATTAGATGAACAATTGACTGAGATACTGCAAGTAGACATCCGATTTACATGAACCTAATGTACTTACCTAATGACTGTGGATAGGTACTGCAAGTAGACATTCCATTTACTTCAACCAGAAGTACCATTGACTTTAGATACTGCAAGTAGACTCATATATAATAATTATTATAAAAAATCCAATGCTTACATTCAAGTTTTTATGGTACAGTTTTGCGTGAATCGGACTTGTCCCTGTATTTTCGAGGCAACCAACAAAACTTATTGTCATCTTTGACGGTGAAAGAGGTTGTCAAGAGTATCAAGAGTGTCAAGAGTATCAAGACTAGACTTTGACCTGACCAAGTGTCTAATTGCCGGCTTCTTTAAGAACAGAGATTGACTAGAGCATTGAAAAATCCCCTCAAATCCATCCATCATTGGGGATTTCCATGACTTTCCATGACTATCCCTGACTTTCCAGAATGTGGACACCCTGAAAATATATAGGATTATATAATTATAACTGGTGAAATACATCTTAAAAAACACGGTTTGTTTGTTTATTGGATAAGTTAGGACAGCGTAGATAGTAAAACAGTATTAATTTTGGTGTTTTTTTTTCAGTGAGAAACGTCATTAAAGTATCAGACTGGAATAAGAGGCTCTTAGTGTTTTCTGGACGGTACAAATCTATGAAGGATGTTCCCGATCACTTACCGTAAGGAATGCTATGTTAATAGGATACAAACTTTATTTAATAGGATTGAAGGATTTAAATTAGTTTAACCGTAGTAAATCGTTTGTATCTCATGGGTTAGTTTGGGGAAAGGAAATAACTGCATTGTATGCACTTTTGAACCATTAGACATCAGGAATGAGCTTCGATTTAAAGCATTTTATCCCTCAGTTAGAGACAATAATTATTGTTTTTAATACAGAATATGGCAGAAAAATTAAGCAGTTTGACTTGCATAGTACTCCGGCTGAACGGGAAGGTGACTGAAATGGTATGAGTGGCTCATGACAACAAGACCAATATTATCCACCTTTCACATCTACAGCCAGAGCACTACGCGATTCAAACTGCTTTAAAATCCCTTCAGCTGCACCCTGCAGCCTCACTCGAGAAACTGTTTGGTACGTTTCTCCTGAATTGTGAATTAGCTACATTAATAACTATTGTACTCAAGTAGAACTTCTGTTTGTTTTAAACAAAATATGAGCGAAAAGGTGTTCTTATACAAGATATGATTCTAGATATTTAGAAGGTACCGGGTATAGTCCACTCTTGGTAATTTAAACACTCGATAAATCAAAATTTTCAATAATTCCAAATAAAAGCTTAGTTGGTAAAGAATCTCTCAATATTTTGAAGTTTTACCATGCATTTTGATACACTCGGTATTTCGGAGTCCAAGCAGAGGGCAGGCCGATTTGGAACATGCAGTAATTCAAAGTCAGGGATCCCTTCCTGTTATAACAAGAAACTATACATTCTGTTCCCACAGTAGTTTTGGACATTTTGGTGTTTAGTTGGAGCAGTTATTGTCTGGTTAACGGTGTTTGCTTGTAAACTAAGTTTTTTAGTTTGCTATGTTTGTTTTGTTGAAGCATTTCAACAATTTACTTCAGGCCACTCGACTGAATTTTTAATTTTAAAAATTCGGTCTGCATTTTCATCTGCACTTTGCATCAATGTCATATGTAGGCCTATAAATCAGAGAATCTGGTATGAAATTTACTTTTATAACATTAAGTCTTGTGTAACGGAACATCTATGAAAGAATAATTTGGTTAAGAAACCAAAGAGTTAAAAACAAACAAGATAAACCACGAACCAAGAGTTATGAACTGAATTGTAAATACAGCAAAAACCTATTCTTTACTCATAATATTAGCAACCGTAAACCTCATTTTAACATAAGGAAATAGCTTTTTAAGTTTTTAGCGTCTGCTTAAAATGGCTAAAATGGTAATGAATGGTTTTAAAAAGTAATTTAAAACTTTAATGACATTAGAATGCCTTAAACACATTCAAGAATCATTCAAATACTTTTTTCAGGAATATATTATGAAAACGTAATCAGCGTCTTGTACGATCGCGGCAAAATCATGAACATCTCCTGCAGCTGTTGAAACAGCAGCATCTCTCCCGCGGTCATGAAACCGTGATCGTTGTCTTGTGCGATTGCGGCAAAATCATGAATATTTCATTAGACTTTACATGGTCCATAAAATTTCTCGACTGTGACAACAAAATAAATTCTAAATCCTGACTTTTCTTTCAAGAAAAATTTGAAATTAAATACTAATTCCCGATTTTACTGTTTTCCCGACCACTAGACACCCTGTTTATATATACTGCACTGTATATCAAAGAATATAGATTGAGAAACAAACAATTACACATAATAAAAATGAGCACCTCTCACTAGTCCGCTGCATTGTGATGACTGAACCGCCGCTACAAGATACAGTAGTTGATATCTGCCGCTCCACACAACCCCACCTAAAAGACGACCAAGTGAGTCAAACGACGGTTGAGTTAATTGTCGAGTAAGAGGATTCTCGTATTAATAATTTAATTTTACTGGCCGGTCAACAGGACTGACGATGAAATAACTTGTCGACGAAGAGGTTTTTTGTATTTATCTATTTAATTTAAAAAGACGGTCATGTGGCCTGACGAAGAAGTAAATTGTCAATCTACTGGTGGCTCCCCATACTAGAAGAGTGTTAAAGAAAAACAAAAAGCCAAAGCATGTGCAAAAGAACTTAACATTCCCATCTAACAAAATAATAGATGTGTTTAAATAATACATAATAAAATACATAAAATAATACATAAAGTAATAAATAATACATAATAAATAATACATAAAACAAAATAATAGATGTAACTAACTAAATAACAGCTGTTGTTTGTTAAAAAGTTACTGAAATTAGATGTTTTATTGTAAAGTTCTGTACCTTACATAAAACAGTATTAAAAAATTAACACTTTGTAATTCAAATGGTTTATCTTTCTCCCAATAAACCAAACTCTTGATAATTCAAAACTCTTGATAATTCAAATTTAATTGCTTGGCCCACAATTTTCTAATTATCAAGAGTCTACTGCACTCTTAAAGGTATAAGCAGTAATAACTGAACTAGATCCCACTGGCTAGATAAACATACAAATGAACTAGATACTGGTCAAATGAATTATACAAAGTTTTTGTTTTGCTACAAAATAGTTAGTTAGGTAATAAAGTATGAGTTTTTAATTTTTTTCATCATTTATCATGCAAATGTTTTACATTTTACATTATTTTAATGTTGCTAAAAAAAAGGATTTTGGCAGCAGTTGAATGCAGACTTGTATGTTTTAGGTTCGGTACAGTGGACAAGGAACGTAACAGAGTTAGAATCAAGGTAGCTAACTACATGATGATTGCGACTGTTTTTGGCTGCTTATTCACCGCCTGGAGCGGTAGGAAGGCTGCAGAATCTGGCGATTCTGTGGAAAAACGACAACTGGACTGGCACAAAGAATACAATGAGAAGGCGAAGAAAGAAGAAGCTGCTAAGACTGCCTAGAGATACTAACTTGTAGATATTACTGTAATATACAATCACTCATATTACCATTTATATTTGTATAGTGATTTACCAGATATTTTTGCATGGTTTGTTTTCAATGTACCTAATTAAATACATATATGTAGATGGTCTTCCTTATTCAATGTTTACCTATAACAGCCTTAAAAATTTGTGTTTGGAAACTAGTTTTTATTGTACTTGGATTTTAAAATTTTTAGAAAATAAAATTGTCTGAATTTAGATCTAAAGGTCTGCCGGTTAGAAAACGACCTCCGCGAAATTTTTAGTTTCCCCTCTCCGCCAAAGGCCGTTTCCACACTGCACGACACGACACCGGGACGACATCGACACGGCGCCGCCCCGGTGTCGAGGAAGTTGGAATCCTGTGCTACCAAATGGAACTGCTTGCACAATGATATAATAATAACATTTCATGATGCTCAATTATTGAAGCGATTTAGGCTATACAATATTTTTTGCAGGACCTATTTTTCTCAAGTCATGAAGAACGTAATTGTTTACATTTTGGTCAGCTGTTAAATTTAATTTGATTAGCTGTGTTTGGGAAGGTTGGGGGTGGGGCGGCAGCGGAGTGGGGGAAGAGCCATAGTCTGTCTCACTCCCACAGCTCGGTATCTCGCTCTCGCACCAATGCTACGAGGAGGGCGCTTTCTAACCGGCCGACCTATAGTTTAGATCTACTTACAATAGCTCGAGTAGCAAAACGGCACACGGAAGATTTCTCAGGTGCCGTCTGACGTCACTATGAGGGAACACCAATACCGCAACAATACGGTTTGGAGCCATCGGCCTCGGTGGTGTAGTGGATAGCGTAGCGGTCTGATAATCCGAACGTACCGGGTTCGAATCCCGCTGGTAGCACTAACTTTTTGTCAACAATTTTTTTCATATCAGCAAGTTTGGTTAGGTTATGACAGTTTAATTTAATAATAGAAAAATTATAAAACTGTCTGTTTCTTCATACGCAGCAGTTAGTGACGTCAGCAGTTAGTAATGATAAAGCTTCATAAATTATATTTTATTTATTGGTACTGAACACTGGATTTTAATAGAACTCACCATGAAAACTCCAAAACTAACATAAACACAACAAACAATAATAATAATAAATATTACATCATCTGATTTAAGACAGAATAAATGTCACATGTCCTTTTTTTTCAATTTCAATCTTTTTTCTTTTCCATTTTAAATTGTCTCAGTTGGCACCGGTTTCTTCTGAAAACTGCTCCGCTGTCCATTTGTACCAAATAGGAATTCGGGCTTTTGTGTTTCTGGACAACTTTTCCTTTTGCCCATTCTCGAGTTCCCTTTTGGACATAAACTTCTTCGCCCTCCTTTAATTCTGGAAGTGGATGAGCTGATCTGTCATAATATGTTTTTAGCGAATTTCCCATATAGGGAATAAGCTATTACCGTAGTACTCATGGTAAGACCTGGACCCGGGACCGATTTTTTTTTTCGTTTTGAGGTTCCTAGAGGCCAAAAACACCATCCGTTCAAATTCATATATATATATATATTTATATATGTGTCCGTTAGCGCGATAACTCGAGCAAAAACTATCCAATTTTGATGAAATTTTGTACAAACGTGTAAACCTACGTTTATTCGAACGAGTTCGCGAACCAGCATGATCGGACCATGGGAACGGGGGTTTTTGGGGGGTTTTATGGGGTAAAAATGGGTTTTTCCTACTTTTGACTCAAAAAACATAAAATTTTGCAATTTCTTTTCAAACTATTTTGTAGAGCTTAAAAAAACAAATAATTTAGTATATAAAGCGTTATAATGCACCTAATGGTTACGGAGAAAATTTCAAAAAATTGTAAATTTAAAATTCCCATGTTATTCTTATGGAGAATAAGTAAACTGTTGTAGTTTGCTTGTTTATTAACATTTTTTGCCCAAATTTAGAAAATGTTTTTATTTCTTACTAACTATTAACATTTTACATAAAAAACACTTTTACCCTCCCTGTTGCAGCAAACCTAAGTAAGTATGTGTTAAACTGATTCTATTTAAATAGGGAATAAATGTGATATTTTTAAGGAGACATTTTAGTGTAAATCCAATCAGGCAAATGGAAATTCGCTTAGTCTGCAGGTTTGCTGCGGCGGGGGTATTTTTTTTCCATTTTAAATTATATTTTATTTATTGGTACTGAACACTGGTTTTTAATAGAACTCACCATGAAAACTCCAAAACTAACATAAACACAACAAACAATAATAATAATAAATATTACATCATCTGATTTACGACAGAATAAATGTCACATTAGTGACGTCAAACGGCACCTGAGAAATCTTCCGTGTGCCCCACCGGCTCTAGTAGCGGTGGGGCACACGGAAGATTTCTCAGGTGCCGTTTGACGTCACTAACTGCTGACGTCACTAACTGCTGCGTCTGAAGAAACAGAAAATTTTCTATTATTAAATTAAACCATATTAAACTGTCATAACCTAACCAAACTAACCAAACGTGCTGATAATGGAAAAATCGAATAAAGGTTTACTAATATAAAAAAAATACTTTTGTCAATAAAATAAAATTATAAATGCCTAAAATTCAATTTTATAATTTATCAATTATAAAATAACTGTCATAACCTAACCAAACCAACCAAACTTGCTGATGTGAAAAAATTGCTGATAAAAAGTTAGTGCCGCCGGCGGGATTTGAACCCGGTACTTTCGGATTATCAGCCCGCATCGCTATCCATTACACCACCGAGGCCGATGGCTCAATGCCGTATCGTTGCGGTATTGGTGTTCCCTCAAAGTGACGTCAGCAGTTAGTGACGTCAAATGGCACCTGAGAAATCTTCCGTGTGCCGTTTCGCTCTAGCAGACCTGCCAAAGAGTAATAATATTATTTTATCAGCTGTGACTATTCGACTCAAGCTCAAGATACAATGAGTGTAAAGAACTAGGCTATATTTTTATCATACTGCAACTGCACCATTCTTGTGATATCTTCGCCACTGAAGTCAAGAATCAAGAATCAAGATCTTTATTGTCATTGACCTTTTACAAGGAATAGACATAGTCAACAATAAAAATAAAAACTAAAGCTATAAAATACAGTGGGTTCTAAATTAAAAATTAATATTAACATCAGAAACTAAGTACTCTGTTATACAGTAATATGGATTTTGGATGAGCCACTCAAACATTTTAGACTTAAACCTATTAAAAGGAACCTGTTTTGCTGCCAGACCTAATTTATTAAAAAACCGTATGCAATTTATTTTATGGCAGTTATCTGTTTTGGCCAATCTATGAGCAGGGATATCTAGATTGGATTTGCCTCTTGTATTGTAAGAGTGTATACTCTCTCTACAAGTGAATTGATGAAGATTGGCTTTAGTGTAGAGGAGTTATGTGAAAAATATACAAATTTACAACGGTCATAATTTTAAGGTCTATAAAAAGAAGTCGACAGCTGTCCACAAGGCCAGCCCCACAGATTGTTCGTATGACTTTTTTTTTGTAATAAAAGAATTTCATGGGTGTGGGGGGAGTGTCCCCATAGTATAATCCCGTAAGAAATATGAGATTGAAAAAAAAAAAACAAAATAAGTAATCCGAAGGTATTCATTACTAACAAAATCTCTGAGTTTCCAAATTAGATAATTTACTCTGGAAATTTTTTTACAAGTGATTTCTATGTGCTCTTGCCAATTTAATTTTGAATCAATTTGGAAGCCTAATAATTTTACAGATTTTAATTCATTCCCAGATAGCAAGGACCCTTGATTCAAAGGTAAACTTTTCCCTACAATTTGCATTCACAATTCAAGGTTGCAAATATTAGGAACATTGTGGCTGGATTCAAGGACAACAAAATACTGCCCTTTTTGAGTTCATAGATTCCGCCCTGAAACAGAGTCAACAAAACAACAGCGCGAATTCCCATGATGCAGTTCGACCAAGCGACGCCAGCCAGACGCCAGGATCCACCCCTAAACAATCCTAACCTCTTTGTCTTTGTCTTTCTTTGTGTGTCTTGTCAGTTTGTCTTTTTGCGACGTTTGTTTCTCGCGTTAGCAAGGACCCTTGATTCAAAGGTAAACTTTTCCCTACAATTTGCATTCACAATTCAAGGTTGCAAATATTAGGAACATTGTGGCTGGATTCAAGGACAACAAAATACTGCCCTTTTTGAGTTCATAGATTCCGCCCTGAAACAGAGTCAACAAAACAACAGCGCGAATTCCCATGATGCAGTTCGACCAAGCGACGCCAGCCAGACGCCAGGATCCACCCCTAAACAATCCTAACCTCTTTGTCTTTGTCTTTCTTTGTGTGTCTTGTCAGTTTGTCTTTTTGCGACGTTTGTTTCTCGCGTTATTACTATATCAGAGTTTTTAGACATAAAGTATTCATATTGAAGTTAGTTTTTGTCAATTTTCAATTTCTTTGTTCATAGTTAATTCCATAGTGTTCGATTTTAGAAGACTAACTGCAACAAAAGTGCTTGTGAGCCAACGAAACATAAAGGTAAGTCAGCTAATCTTTTCATTGTACACAATGAATACAATGAATACAATGAATACAATACAATGAATACAATGAATTTATTTGGCCAATCAACAACAACATTGTTACAGGCTATGTCAATGTACAAGCATAAAATAAAATAAATATCAAGACTTAAAAATCAAACCAAGCAAAAGATGTGCATGCACTATGCAAAAACAGCAAACAGGCTGTTCAGAGGAAAACTGAACTAAATACAGTTTCAAAAAACTCTTTGAATTTGAAAAAAGGATTTTTAATCAGCCAATCAAGTATTGCGGTTTGGAAGTTCTTTCTTTCCAGATTTCTCACATGACCAGGAAGGTGATTGAACAGTTTTATTCCTGAAACAGGGTATGACCTAGCTCTTTTATCAGTCCTGGACCGAGGAATGACAAGCTTAGAACTACCTAGTGTCATGATTGTGCACTGAACTGGTTACATGTAGGTCATTCATGCTGTTCTTAATACTAACAAGGCATTGGAATATATACATATTTACAACTGTCAGAATTCTTTGTCTCTTAAACAAGGGCTTACTGTGTTCTTTATAGTGAGCATGACAGAGAATCCTTACTGCCTTCTTTTGCAGTCGCAGGATCTTTTCGACATTGGGTGAGTGGCCCCACAGAGGATACGCGTCCGGTAACCAGACGTGGATTAGGCGTCCGGTAACCAGACGTGGATTAGGCGTCCGGTAGGGGGTCCCGGAACGCCATTACCACAATGATACGAAATTCAGCATCAGTGTTCGTGGTGAAGTGGATAGAGGGCTCGGCTGATATGCGAGAGGTCCCCGGTTCGAAACCCATCGGTATCTTTAAGTTTTTGTCACAGATTTTGCTTTGAATGTAATTTATTCTTAACTGTACATCTTTTGTTAGAATTTTCGGCATTTATAATTTTATGTTATGAAGAGAATTGAACCTTCATTTGATTTTTTCACTATCAGCAAGTTTGGTTGGTTAGGTTAGGTTATGACAGTAACTGCCGTCCGGTTACCGGTCGCGTATCCTCTGCGTTCATTGTATTCATAATATTTTTTCCATTCTTATGATAAGATATGTGTGTTAGAATGCTAATCATACTGACATTAGAACCTCAAGTTACAAATGCTCTGAAAATTATCTTACAACAATAAACTGCCAAATTTGGACTAGGATCCAGAATAATTCTAGGCCTGTGCTTGCCCTAGGCCTCATGACTGGTGAATTGTTTTATAAGTTAGTTGGCCTAGAAAGTATTGTGATCCGTTGGAATATTGTATCTGGAATTGTTCAAGACCTAGTTACTTATTTTTGCCAAATCCGGTGGGCTACAATATTATGAACACACAAGCCAATATGTAACTTAATGATGCAGTTTTTTATCAGCGTAGATTGTCTTAAGTTATCATAGGCCGAAGTTATGAAGTTTCATTTAAGATTGAAGAAATGATTTTCGATGGATTGGATAAATAGACCTAGGCCTATAGAAAAATATTTTAATTTAGCTTAGGCCTATGTCTTAAGTTATAGACTTGGTACTGTAGCCTAGGTCTAAGGGCTTATCCTAGTCCTATGTCCTGATGCTAGGGTTTCTCGGCAAACGTTTAGATGGGTTAAGATTAGCATCTCTCAAAGATTTTAGGTTTTGTACGCCATACCCATTGATTAAACTAAGTAAAGGTAGGCTACCGTAATGAACTAATTTAAAACAACCTTCTACAAAATGTCACTTGACTGGAGACCTGCCATTTTGGTTTTATGTAGCTGTTAACTTTAAATCATATCCTGGTAACTTGTGCCTATTTAAGTTACTAAAGATGTATATTGCCCATGCTGTAAGTTGTAAAGTTATTGTAACAAGGTTACCTAGGCTGCTGTGTTATTTTTCAAATTAACTAATTAGCTTCAGCGAACACAGATTTAAAACAAGTGGCTTGCCGTTTGAACAAACGTTACAAGATGAGTTGCCATCTTGCTTTGCATCGAAATTTGCAGAATTTAGAACTGTAATTTAGACATTATTATGAATAACTTGGTCTGTGTGCTGCAATTTAACTTACGGTACCGGTATTAACAATTTTGGAAAAATTCTGAAATTTTCTGCTTTAAATAAACCTTACCATTTGTAGGCCTATAGTTTTTAAATTTTATTGATGATTTGTAATTTAAAACAAAAAATATTAATAGCCTAAATCATAACTTAATATTATTAAAACCTTAGAGTAAGAAAGTTAGTAGGTTAAACTTACTAAAACTTTCGTTTGTTGGTCAAACAAAAATTCACTTGGAAGAAAGTTGTTTAAAAAAAAATTAATGCCAGACTTATCCTACTTCTTTTTCCATCTTGCTTAATTTAGCCAGAATTTCAGGTTGAACAGAGAGGCAAGACCATTGAACGAGTCTAAACTAAATTTTTTGTACTTGATTCATTTGGTAAATCCCACTGTACACCCCTGAAAACACACACTGACCAATTATGTCTATTCTGTACTTTACTACAGAAGTGAGATTGTCAAAGCTAGTTTGTTAAATACAAATACATGGCATATTCTCTCTAAAAGCTGATTGTTTTGTATTTTTCTTCCAATACTAGCTGTAACCCGCGGGCTTTGCCCCGTTTAACTTCTTAATTTTCAAGTTGATCTCGTTCGCATGGCTCAATCACGTCCTGGTTGAAGTTTGTTCGCTACGCTCACTCACCTTTAGATTGGAGCTCGTTCGCTACGCTCACTCACCTTTAGGTTAGAGCTCGTTCGCTGCGCTCACTTGCCTTCAGGTTAGCTCGTTCGATACGCTAACTCGCCTCCAGGTTGAAGTTCGTTCGCTACGCTCACTCACCTTTTGGTTGCAAATTAGCTGTTGTCATAAATGTAAAAGAAATAATAGTGCTGCACCCTGTTGGTAATCCTTGTAACTTTAATGCTATTAAACATCATAGAACAGAACCAACTTGTTTAATTGAAACAGCTGTTAAGATTCATTAATTCCATTTCTCATAAGGTTAACATGGGAAACTCCAGAGCCACTGGTGCGGAGCCCAGAGGTTGGAGGGTAAAATCCTTTCTTAGTGATCGTCTACTACCCAAAAGGATGATGCCTGCCAAGATTCAGGTTCCTAGGTCTTATGGTTTCTGAGATTTCGTGATGAGTGAGTGAATGAATGAGTCAGTGGTATTTGAGCTTTATATAGATTTGCATAACAAATTCTTTTGTTATTATTATCTATTATGAGGCGTTTCACTTAAACTGTTTCAGTTGTAGCCAAGAGACTGTTGGCTGAAGCCACTGAATTGAAAGTAAAAAAAACTGCATCCGTGCATGGCTGTGACAAGCCAAATTTAGGGCCAGTACCTAAAAGGTTTGTAGAGCATATTAGTTATAGAACTGTTTATTTCATAAGGTTTACTTTTGTTGTTACAGTAGAACCTCGATAGTTCGACACTCCCTGTAGTTCGACACAGGCCGTGATGACAAGACATGGCATCAGTGGCCAATGACGGGTTCACCAAGGTTAAAAACTATAGCATTCTTAGTGTTTTCGTGCATGGAAAAACTCAATAGGTAGCCTACTTAAAATATCCCATTAACTTACATTTTTTCTAAGATCCAAAGTGTAAAAAGCATGTGACGTAAATTATGAGGGGCGAATAAGATTGTATTTACTGAGCAGCCTACCCCTAGTACCAGCCACGCTCAAATTTCTTCCCCGGGGTGCTGAGAAGGATTCACGGTTTTGACTGATTAATTATTTTAATTTAATCTAAGGTTCAGAGCTCTAGAAGCGCTCAAAAGATCCTGCAGACGCCCAGGAGGAGAGCAATATCATCCTCGCCTTTGTTAAAATGTTATTGCAAATTTTGCCTAACTTTTAGAATAACTGTAGGACAGACGAGTACTCTACCCTGGCCAATTCGATAAAACTACCTACTCGTTTAAACTGTTGCAACAACGGGTTTTAGAATTCTAATAACAAGTCTCGGGTTTGTTAATTTGGTTTATTAGTATAAGGAACATACAAGGGTGGTTTTTCAAGTAAGAGCCAGTTTCTGCGTATAAATCCATAATTCGCTTAAGTACGCTGCAGCAAGGCTCCTCGCCACTTGCTGGTATCATTTGTGAACAGAATGACACAATTTGCAGCTCTGTAGCTGACATGTACCTACATTTCGCTGTGTGTTTCAACAATTTTTTAGACTTTTTGTCCCCGTACGATAGGCTGGAGCCCGGGATTGTTTTTCACATTACTTCAGGCTAGACCTAGGGGTTACGGCATTATCACTTAGTTAAAATCCATTGGTGATTTGGCGGGATTTGAACCCTGGACCCCAGGAATCGGAATGACCGCGCTCTAACCACTAGACCTGGTCGCTCCCCAATTTTTTAGACTATTGATAATGTCAATGATAATCAGGGCCGGAGAGAGCCATCATGGGCCCCTGGGCTCAGCGATCCCGGGCCCCCTATTTACTTGATTTAGTGTCCAGCCGTCTCCGTGCCGTTTTGTCACACAAATAACTATATTAATAAATGTTTGCTCACAGTTTCAGCTTTAATCACAGTCAAAACAATTCAAGTAAAAAATTACTTAGTGAACTGGAAAACCATGCTGAAATTTATAACTCAAGCAGATTACATGTACAGAAAAAATTTAAAAAAATTAGATAAAACATACTCCCTTAGTCGATACTTTATGATTTTTTTTGTTGCAGGAAAAGAGGAGTTATTGGTGCACAGAATAGGAACATCAGGCTGAGGTTATGCGACAGTAAATAATGTATAAGTAAAATGTCACTTAATTTAACTCATGTTCTAATTTTCAAGTTTTTGTTTTATACTTTATATTTTCATAAAATAAATTTACTATAACCAATGTCACTTGCTACATTTTATTTATACCCCCACAAATAGTGATATTTTGGCTATGTTTGAAGAACTGTTTTGAACTTTTAAACTTTTTGTTGATCACTGAGATGTCTTTTCTAAAGCAGGGTCTGGTGTAATTTGATGAGGCCTTATTAAAGCAGGGTCTGGTGTAATTTGATGAGGCCTTATTAAAAATTAAATGCTCTCACCCTTCACTCACAAGCTTGGCAGAATAGGCTTATTATTTTTAACCTAACTCAGTTATCCTATACAACATTTAAATAAAGTGTTATAGCATCATTTATAGGTTTCTAGCTGCCCCTCCCCTTGGGCTTCACAACAGAATTGAAAAATTGTCTTTGCTACAAACAGTTGTTTTGCATTGGTTTTGCTTAGAATTTTCCTAACAGCGGTTTGGTAGCTAATACAATTAAACGAAAGTTCTGTCAAAAGAAATAGTAAAAGGCTCGTGCCTTAAATTTTCTACTCGTGTCGTAAAGACTATTAACGCGAGTTGCGTACACTACTTTACCTACGACCGTTTTTTAATTACTATCAATCTGGATTTAATTACTAACAATCACTACTGATAACTTTTTAGAGAGGTTATGTTTTCGTGTATTGTCATTGCCACTGAAAGTGATGCAACGACTTGTTGTATAATCAGCTGATTTCCTGTAATTACGTGTTTGTTAAACTTCGTTAAATATTACATTGCTAGCAGCATTCTTACCATAAATAATATTGTATCAGGTACAATTCGGCAAATATTTCATTTATTTTTGGACTTCCGCCAACTTAATTAAGAATACGCGAGTATCAACATGAACAAGTCGGATCAACAATTAAATTGGTCAACTGATCAGCTGATCAGCTGATTAGTTGACGTTCGAAGCATTACAATTTTAATTCTTTTCTCTCAATACTTGAACCTCATTGGTCCGTTACCTGTGTGGATATGAGAAAAACTATGCTGATATGAAATGAAACTATGCTGATATGAAAGTAAACAGCTGTAAAGTGAAACTTTTCAATTCTAAGAACTGGACTGAAATGGCTACTTTAAAAAACGGTCGCAGGTAAAATATGTTAACATTGTAATTTTAAAGCCAGTGAGCCAGAGCCCTGATGGAATCTCTCAAAGCTACTTCTTGTACATATTAAGTGAAACCTATTATGGAGGTTAAGTGAAACCTCCATGCCACCAAGTTCTGAGTACATGCATGGTAGTTTTTGAGGAATAGTGATCAATGAGTGAGTGAGTGGTAACTGTATTATAATATAGATTATAAGGTCAAATTATGTATCCACCCAAAGTTTTCTGCGTAGATTAAAGCTTAAGGTAATGTACCTTGCGTTTAATATTTTAAGGCTTAACTTACTGCCATAAAGCAACCAATATTTTGATGTCCTAATAGATAGCTGTCCCCGCGCTTAGTAGGCATCATTAAAGTTCTTGAGTTCACAAAGACAAAACAGCTAGGCTATCCACTAGGACATTAAAATATTGGACTACTTTAAGACCGTAAGAATGCCGTAAGTCAAGTAAAATTCCTTGTCAGTCAATCACTTGTTACTGTATGTACTGAGTTGATCATGATTATGCTTTTATTTAACCCGAATTCAACAATATATTTTGATTTCAGCCAAAAATCTTTACCTTGAATTAACCTTAAATTTTCAGGTTATGAGTCCTGAATTGACCATGATTTTACCTTAATTTAAACATACTTATACCTTAATTCAACCTCAATTCAGCCTTGATTATGCATTACTGCCAGAAACGTTTACCTTGAATCAACCTAAAATTTTCAGGGTTGATTCAGGTTTCACAAGTGTTCAGTAGGGCCCTTGAATTAGCCCTGAATTAGGCTTGATGGCTTGATATTTTAAGATTAATTCAGGCTTGCATCTTTGAAAGTTTAACCTTGATTTAAGGGCGCGCTTTACCCGCAGTAGAAATCCTGCGATCGTTGTTGCTAACGCCAGTTACGCCGTTATGAGCTAGGAGCGATGCGGCGAGAGGGGAAATGGCAAGATGGCCGCAACTGGCAAGCAACGAACTCCGGGCTGCACAGCGCTTGAGACTGAGATGGCTCTCGCACGCGCAGTCGCGCCCGCCCGCGCACCACTCACTGCCAGCCACGGCCACAGTAGACCAGCGCTTTTCGGTAGCCTTGCCTCGTCGCATCAACACAACCACACAACTCAAACTAGGCTACTACTGGGTGTAAGCGCTCCGATGTCGCGTACAGTATAATCATAGACTAAGCAACAAGTTTGTTTCATCTATGGTAGAATGTAGCGAAGTAAGCTATGTTTGTTATTCAAAATTATTACTTTTTTCTACACCATTAGACATCTTAAAATTATGGACATTGGCAGTAAAAAAAGGAAATTTGTGTACATGACGTACAAATACACATTATAATTTGTCCTTCACTATATGCAAAGTATACACAACAAATACATAAAGGGTACCTAATATTATTTTATTTTCCAACAGGACCCTAGTCCACATCCTGGATTACATGGCAACTATTTAAAAACTCGGTAGGATTATAAAATTATTTGAAAATATATTTATTAATAAGGATTTGATGATTGAGTTGATTATGGATTATAGATTTTGATGATTTGATGAATTAAATCTCGGATATAGACCCTAATAGAATTTATATCCTATCTCTGATGGGTAGCCCTCTTGGGTATCTAGGATCAATAAGTTCTGGCAGAATGCATTTGAAATAGAAGTCAGTTAGTGGATTTTCCATATTCTTCCTCCAGAACTCATCGTCTCTCATGATCTTCTCCACTGACAAACCATGAGGTGTCCAAACTACAAAAAAAACAGTATTTCTTCCCGGTTATATGAAGCTGCCCTTGCACTTGGTAATGGTAGCAATGGTGTGTTTTCAATCTCAGCTCTCCTTCGTCATTGAGATAACAAAATTTTATCACTTTCTGACGCACTGCCTCTGCTGGTGTTAGGTTTTTAGCAGACGCTGGACACTTCACCTGTAACAAAATTTAAAAAAATAAATGGATTTGGATGTTTTGATCATTTGTCTATGTCAATAGGATACCAAGATAAAAGTGCTAAACACAGTACGTTGTCCAATGTTATTCGTATAAAGAATAAGAATAATTTTATTTCTCGCCTATTTATGAACATACACACTGACACACTTTGGTATGAGGCTTAATCTTATTGTCGCCTGTTGATATTTGCTCAAAAAACACAATTTTGCCGATTAAGTCCATACAATCATACCTGAGTACTCATCCCCCTATGATTCTTATGGAGAATAAGTAAAATGATATGCCTCTCTTAATTATTACCATAAAATCCATATTTTTTACTGGTTATATAGGTTCACCTACATAGCTTCACCTATTTGAGATTTGTCTAACAACTATAATTTGTGATCCTTGTTACAGCAAACCTGACTACTCAGGCTGCTACGTTATTCTTATAGAGAATAATTCAAATTTTACAAATATCATTAATGTTATTAATGGAAAGGGATGACACTTGTTATGTGGCTTCACCTGGTTGATACTTGTATGACAACCAAATATTTTCTGTTCTTTGTTTCAGCAAATATTTGATTTAATGAAAGATTTAGAATGAAGGTGTAATAAATATGCAACATTTAAAAGTCCACGTACCTCCACTAAAGCTTTTTGGTCCCACACTCCGTCAGGTGATGCTGCAAGAAATGGATGTTGTGGGTCTATGTAGAGTCCACAATCTTCAACTTTGATCAAGAGTAGGTCTTCTAATGCGGTTATGGCAACTCTCTCGTTTTCCATACCATACTTTGTTGCCTTGTTCCCGGTGAATTCTTTGTAGAGTAATTGCACCACCGTTTTTTGACATGAAGTAGACTGCCTCATTCGGCAAATCTTGCCAAAATTTGAAGCTGTCAATCGTTTTCTTCGTTCATTTTTCCAAAGTTCGCAGGAGCTCTGGCCACGAGAATCTGATTCAATTTGATCTCGATTGCCAGCGTCAAGTTCTAATGACTTCATGAAATGGAATTTTTTACTTTCATATACATCCGGTTCAAGGTCCGGAACCGGCACATCACCATAGTCTTTGTCGGCACACATAATACGTGACTTTTTGGCGATCGGCTCCCGAAAAAGCTTTTTCCTTGGCTTCGACTTCCTCCTCCATCTCCTCGCAGCCAAGCTCTTTGAGTGGAGTCCTGGGCTCAGTCCAAATGCCAACTTCTTATGAATAACCCTATGTAGTTCTTCGCTGTTATTCACCGTCAACGCCGACAACTCACTCCTTGCCGTGTAGCTATTCCTTTAAATGAAGTTTACTCTTTTACCCCCCACCAGTTTGCATACTATAGCATTGTAGCTCTCGACGATGTTTGAGGTTACACATTGGAGTAAGCTGTACGTGAAGTTGGTTAGATAAGCATTGGCAGCCATGATCTCTTGCCAAACACCATAGGATTTTAAAAGCTCCACATAATTCCTATCTCCCTCTTTTTGCCGCTTGCAAAAATAGTTTGGGCACTTGGAGTGATCACCAAACACATGATTTGGCCCATTGATAATGTCGGATTGTAGGAGTTTTACAGTTTCGTGAAGACGCTGGGTTTCCATATTTTTTTATGGTGTTTTACAGCTCCTATTACTGCGTGCCGTAGTCTCATTAAACTACTGAGCACCTTATCTCTTAGTTCTCCTGGGACTGGGCCGGTCTGGTTTCTTCTCTGCTCACCAATGTCTCTCACTTTTCTAATGTAGTTTCGGAGTAGATGATTCGTACACTCAATTTTAATTATTGGTGTACGTGGACCATACGGCTGACATTCAGTAAGTTTTGACGTGACGCTACTATCACCATCACCTGAAACAACATAGGCAACAATATATAAATCTCGAATACAAACGACTTCCACAAATCATTTTAAAAATTATTAAAAACATTTCATAAATCAACAAACTTCAAAATTCCCTTACCTTATGTGTGTGTGTGGACGTACATATAAATGAAACAATAGACCAATTAACAGACAGACCGATAGAAATTGAGATGAGACTTATCTCTGTTTTCATATTCTATGAAATGTAATTTTTTTTCCATATTTATTCATATTTTGGGTAAAATTATGGAAAACGTTCATAGTTGTAAGAAATGTACAGACAAATCTGAAATTTGATTGATGTAGCTAAAAAAAAAAAAAGTTATGGTAATTTTTGCCTGCATTTTCGATATTTTAAGAAACCCTATCTGCAAGTAAACTATAGACAAACCTACGACAGAATACTCACCTATTACATTCACGTACTTCAAGTTGTACATCTCGATACTTTTTTTAAACCCTTCCACTATTATGTCAGCCTCCATTGCCGTCGATGACTTGGTCCAATTCTTATAGCACACATGTTCAGCTGGTTGGATTTGTTTGTACTCAGCCCGTGCACAGATAGAACAATACGAGTTGCGAACCCCGACAAAGAGAACCTTCTTGGTCTTATACCCCATGATGCAAGCCTTGAAAATGAAATGTGACGCAATAAGAATGTTCGTTCAAAGGATGAAAGTACATTTTTTTACAAGCATAATTAGTGTGTTTTATGCAATCATCAATATGATTCAATAAAGTGAATGAAGCTTCATACCAAGTTCCAGTTATTTAGGTTTATATCTTCATTTATTTTAGATTTATGAATGGCAATTTTAGCAATTTGGTGTTTAGCAATTTTAATATCCCTGCAATGGTTGGACATAGAACAATAACTTCAAAACTAACATAGTATTTTTTCAGCCAAACCTATTATTAAAAACAAACCTAATGTTTTCAGTAATTTTAAATGATAAAAAAGGTAAAGACCATTTCCCTCATCAACATAGGACATTTCTTACACGTATGTACTTACCACTCCGGAGAGAGCATTGTAGTTGGTTTTGTAAGACCTTTTACTCCAGGCACCATCGACTACTACTGTAATTTCTGGAGTTCCCGTTTCTTTATCAACTCTGCCTTCCTCGATCGCTAATTTAGCTTCCTCTTTAGCAGCTTCAGCCATGCTCTCCCATGAGCATTCATGAATGGCTGTATATAAGAGCTCTTGGTGTTTGTTATACGTTTTTGTAGACATACACGGCATGTCTAAACTGCAACACAGCTCCTCCAGTTGACTATATCCTTGGCCGATATTGGTCATACCTCATACCTTCAACCTGCATGAATAATATTACTGTAATTGTAATTTTACATAAGGTAACTTATATAATATTTGTTTAATGTATCTAAACGTAAATGTAATTAACCAGCTAATTAAATAGTAAAAGTTAAGCAGTCAATGATAAAGTTCTCACAAATTTCTTTTAAATGAAGTGTTTTTTTTAATCTTTTTTTATCGAACGTGGCACTTTAAATTTTGGCTCGTAATAGTTCAATCTTAAGTCACAAAATTAATAGAATACATGCTTTTTTGCGGCAATAATAAAACATTTAGTCAAAATAAGCATGTATCGTATGAAACATTTTGCAATAAATCAGTTATCTATACAATATTAACCGATCTTAATAATCTTTCTTTATACTGTAGTTTAGAAGATAAATTTATAGAATTGTAAGTGGTAAGTAGGGGTTCTTTTTAAGTGACTTTGTGTAATAGTGAGAGACACATTTATGCATTGGAAATTCACTTAGTATGAAGGTCTGCTGCAACGTGGGTATTTTGATATCACCTTGTATATACTGGTGCTGTATACAACAATACTATTTCAATTAATAATGGTATCGCGCGTATAGTCTTAATACTTACCATTGAAGTATTCACATTCATTACATTTCCATTGTTAGGTAATATGTCCGTCGTGATTTTTTCAATCCTCCGACAAACCTTGCAATGGAATGTCAATTCATCTATCAGACCAATGCGTCTGTCATTTATCAAATACATATCTGAAAACTTGCAGTCAAAAGGCTCGTGGTTTTCTAGAGATTGCAGGGATTTGATAAAATGATCTATGTTAACTATCCTCCTTCCATGTATGGATATTTCTTTGGCGATATCTTCGTTATCTTCTTCATCTCTGTAAACACAAATTTATCAAGTTCCAAACTTGTAGTCGAATAATTATCATACACTCTAAAGTCAACGACCAGACTTCACATAGATGTATTTCATTTAGGCTACTTTTTTAGAAACTATTTTCAAAAATAAATGTTAATTGTTAATTATTAAACTGTTAATTGTCTTTATAATGTGAATTAAAATTTTGTAAATTACTTTTAGGGCAAAAAATATATTAAGCATGCAGAAGTAGTGTATAACATTTTAAACTGTGAAAAATTAACAGTAATAAAAAATAGGTTTGTATTACCCATCTTTCTTTAATAATTTACATAAAAATACATTTTTCTCTAAAGGGAGTTTCTAAGAAATAACATAGTTTTGAAAATACCTGGGAGCGAGAAGCTCAATTCCGGCTAACCAGTCTGAATCGTCACTGTCACTGTCAAGACTGTCATTCCGCCTGCAAAAAACATAATCAAATTTAACGTATTTACCGATTTAAAATTAACAAATGTAGTTTTAATAAACATTCTACATAGGTAGACATTTTACATTTTTAAATACATAGTTTTAACTACATGAACAACAATAGTTACTAATACTGTACTTTATACTGACTTTAGTCAGTTCTAATTATTTATCAAGTAACTGTTAGAACATTAATATTTTAATTCTCTGTACAGTTGATAAAAAGATAAATTGTATGTATTACCGAGTTAATACTACTGTATAAGGTTAGTTATTGGAAAAAAAATACCTAGCATGAATATTATTTATAATGCATTAATTACCTGATGGTAATAGTCTCTCTTCCAGCATCAGGCAGATCATCATTGTTTAGTATTCCTGTAGGTTCAGCCTCAGTAACGTTATCCTTTTTGGAAATTATATCATGGTCTTTAGGAGTACTGTGATGGAAGCTGTCGCTAATCTGACATTCGGAGAGGCGTACGAAGCTGAAAAAAATATATACTGAACAAGGTATATGATAAGTCTGTACCTACTGTACTCAATAATAATTGGGTTTATTTCTCCGAGTGATTGTGTTAGCTGTAGGCCTACACAGTTTGGCAACAATGAACAGTTATTTTATAAGGATCGACTAAATGCAGAGGATTAATTAGTAATGGTAATGTTTTAGCTAAATAGTTGATCTTCAAAATGCATTCCAACATTTTTTTGAAGGAGCTTTTATACTTTAATACCATCTATACTTTATAAACCTTATGAAAAGCTAAATAACGGGCAGGCAGGGCGAATTAATACCTTACCTTGTATCAGTAGATTCTATTATTTCATCATTGTTGTTCATTTCTGACATGACTGTGTTATGTTTTGAAGTAATGCCTGATTCATCTGTTTTTGGCAAATCATGGAAGACAGTAGCGTTAGACTGACATTCGCTTGCAGATACTAGGCTGAAAAAAAATGGGTAGTTTAAATTTAAATAATGATTAGGTTACCTTTTTTAAACCTTTTAATGATTATTTATTGCTCATTCCGGTTCATTAAACTTTCCATAATTTAAAAACAATGTTTTTAAAAAGGACCTTTTGATATTTGTTACACATTTTCCAGTATCTATCAATTGATTAAGTAGGCAAGTATTTCGTTTTTTTAATCATACAGTTATCCCGCTTATGGTAATCTAAAACACATTAAAAAAATTGCCCGCGCGTTTATTGTATTGAGTATAAACAACTGGTACTAATAATTTGATTTTTAACAATGGCCCCCTGTTATTTACTTATCCGGTACACACAGATCTAAGATTTATTTGTACACTGTTTATTACTATATTTCACTGCACAAAGTACTAGCTGATATAGATTGTATAGATTTTTGCTATGGATTATAAACAAAACAATGACAGTCTGTTGGTAGCTATAACCCTTATAACAGTTGTTGCCTTATTTGTCATAAGTTCGCCTTATTTTGACAATGACCTTCAAACCTATAAAGACAGTTACGGTACTTATTTTATCTGCTTATTAATTGGCTTATATTGATTCCTAAACATAATTAACAATAATAATAACAATAATATAACAAACCACTCACCAAATATTTCTCTTTCTTTCCCGCCACTTATCAAGATTCTTCGCTGTAGACCTTTTCCTTTTAGTGGAAAGTGTCAAATGTCGTTTGACACGAGTTTTCCTTGAAGTTCCAGGCATTTAAAAACTCACTTTTAACTATCTCTAAACTTCACAAACACAGTTAAACACAGAGGTAGAGTAGCGCCGGGTTTGACAGATGGAAACACGTGGATCAAGCATTGGAGGGGTGAGAAGCGGTGCTGAGAGGGGGATTTCCGGCGAGCTTCCCCGAGCTGCCGCTAGACGCCGGCACCGCACAGTGGTAATTTTTAATTTGCAGAGGTTTCCAAGATTACTCTTTTCGAATTAACCAATAATGATAGCTACGCACTCTAAACGGATTATAGTAGTAAAAAGACCAATCTATAGTTCTGCGTTTTTAAAATTTTCAAATAACGTTTTTTAAATAAGTTACGGCTAGTCGAAAAGGCCCTTTTTTCTTGTACTAAAACTCAAGTTTATAAGGTGTGTAATAAAGATAATTGAAATATAGAAACGCAGAACTATAGAAAATTTCATCCTCTTTAATATGAGACCTTAAATTTGATTCTATCTTCAATGTAGCAGGTGAAAAGAGAAATCTTGCAAACCCTTGCATTCGGTTGCGCGTCAGGGGTAAAGCGCGCCCTTAATACTGAATCAGGAAAAAATTGCTATCTGGGTTGTCAAGTGGGGATAGACTCAAAAGAATTTTCTGTGTTTTTTCTTGATTACATGTCAATTTATTTGAAGAAAACCAATTTAGTGCTGATGTTATTGATTCATTAGTAATTAAATCAAGCTCATGGATATCTCTATTTGTTGCAATCAAAGTTGTGTCATCAGCATATACAACAGTGTCTACATCAACATTCCTCGGCAGGTCATTTATCGAGATTAAAAACAAGAAGGGTCCCAAAACCGAGCCCTGTGGAACACCTACTTCAACCAATCTTAAGTTAGACTGACTGCCTCCAACAGATACATACTGCTTTCTATTAGTTAAATAGGATTTTAAAATTTTTAAAGTTTCGCCTGTAATACCATAAAATTCAAGTTTTTTAAATAAAATATCAAAAGGTACAGAGTCAAAAGCTTTTGTAAGATCAAATAAAGTTAATGAAACAGTTTCTTTATTTTCAAATGCATTTAAAGATTTATTAATTACTTCTAAGACAGCTGCAGTTGTTGATTTACCCTCTCTAAATCCAAACTGTGAATTTGTCAACAAATTGTTATTTTCAAAATATTCATTCATTTGTTTATGCATGAGACATTCAAAAATTTTGGAAAAGATTGGCACTATTGAAATAGGGCGATAATTACTAGGAAGATTTTTATCACCTTTTTTATATACTGGAATAATTTTAGACATTTTGAGAAGGTCAGAGAAATAACCAATTTTCAAACATTTACTAATACAAAAAGCCAGAGGCTCACTTATAAAATAAATTATTTGTTTGATGCTATAATTTGAAAACCAGTAATGATCCATAGCTTTTGAATTTGAGAAATTAGCTACAACATTGTTAACCTCTTGCCATGATACGTCCCTCCATTGGAAATGTAATTGTCCTATAGGGGGAGTCCCCAGCAACTCATGCGCAGGTGTGTTGGTGAGAGGGATTTCATTTTCTAGCTCATTAACACATTCAATAAAATAGTTATTGAGATTGTCAGCATCCAAAACCTCCGACTTAGTTGATGTAGGAGAATATTCATGCGATATAACTTCCCAAGCAGCCTTGCACCTGTTGGGGGCCTTATCAATATATCTTTCAAAAGCTTGCTTTTTGGCTAATTTTATTTCACGATTGTAGGCCTTTTTACAATCAATATAGGTTCTATAGGCATTTTCCAAATTATATGATTTATGTTTGAGTAAGCTCTTATAAACAGAAAAACAAAGAAGCATTTTTTACCTAAGTTTCCTTAACTTTTCATTATACCAATTAAGTTTTCCTTTCTTATGTCTATTGTTTTGTTTGCACTTAACTAATGGGGAACTAAAATGCCACAAAGATACTAATCTCTTAAAAAATTCATCAAATAGTAATTGCTCATTTATTTTACCCATTTTATAGTCCATTATCATTTCCCATTTCTCTTGTACCAATTGATCAACAAAGTGTTTAATATTACTTTCTTTTTGCCTTCGTATTATTTGTTTTGTTCCTTCTTTTGAGTTGTTACATTGTTTTATAGTTTTCTGTAAAAAATATAATATTAAAGGTTCATGGTCTGCAAAACAACCTCCTACTGTATTTATGTTATATAAATCTGTTGAAAAGTTTACAATTATATTATCCATGCATGATTTTCCTCTTGTAGGTTTTTTATTTGTACAAACTAAATTTAGACTTCGCAACAGATTGGCAAATTCAATAGATGTTTTCTTTTCCATTTTTATCATTTCTATGTTAAAATCATCTGCAATGGCTACAAATTTAAATGACTTTAACAGCTTTTTCACAGCAAGCTCAAAATTTTCCATAAACAAACCAATATCACCACTAGGGGATCTGTAAACACATAAAACTATAAGATCATAATCAATTATGTTATTACAGCTAAATTCACAATGAAGCTCAATGCAAAATAAGCTAACATCTATTTTGGTGAATGTTAACCCTTCTCTTAAAAATATTCCTACCCCACCATTTTTTATACTTTTCCTACACATGATATCTGCAGCAATAAAATCTTTAGGAACGAAGAATTCAACTTCCCGCTCCTCTAACCAATGTTCAGACACACAAATTACATGCACTTGCTCTATGGCACAAAAGTGTTCTAATTCTAACATTTTGGCTCCGCCCCAGTGGCTCTGTAGTTCCCCATGTTAACCTTATGATTTTTCATATTAAGAAGTCATTTCATAAAGGAATTAATGAATCTTAACAGCTGTTTCAATTAAACGAGTTGGTTCTGTTCTATGATGCTCAATAGCATAAAAGTTACAAGGATTGCCAACAGGGTGCAGTACTATTATTTTTTTTTTAATTTATGACAACAGCTAATTTCCAACCAAAAGGTGAGTGAGCGTAGCGAACAAACTTCAACCTGGAGGCAAGTTAGCGTAGCGAACGAGCTAACCTGAAGGCAAGTGAGCGCAGCGAACGAGCTCTAACCTAAAGGTGAGTGAGCGTAGCGAATGAGCTCTAACCTAAAGGTGAGTGAGCGTAGCGAATGAACTTCTACCAGGACGTGAATGAACCATGCGAATACTTATGAAGTTAAACGGGGCAAAGCCCGCGGGTACAGCTAGTAGATTATAAACATCATATATTTTAAATAGGCTGATAGGCTTAATTAACTGGTAGTAGGCTATTTATATATTACTTGCTGGCCCGACAGACGTCGTCCTGTCCTAATGCGATTTTATATCAATTGCTCGTTCATTTTCAAGATGAGCTCGTTCGCATGGCTCAATCATGTCCTGGTTAAAGTTCTTTTGCTACGCTCACTTACCTTAAGGTTGGAGCTCGTTCGCTGCGCTCACTTGCCTTCGGGTTAGCTCGTTCGCTACGCTAACTCGCCTCCAGGTTAAAGTTGGTTCGCTACGCTCACTCACCTTTCGGTTGCAAATAAGCTATTGTCAAAAATATAAAAAAATAATAGTGCTGCACCCTGTTGGTAAACCTATTAAATTTGTAATGCTATTTTTATGCCATCTATCTATAATATTAAAACGAAACAGTGTTTTTTTATTTCACGATTCTGAACAAACCACTCGACGGATTTTCATGATTTTTGTGTTGAAAGAAAGATAATTTTGAGAACTAGGGAATGTCGAAGCCATAATTTTAGTTTAGGGTCCCAGTTATTTAGAAATTAAGTTTTAATTTTTGAAAAGTCTAGCAGCCGACGCTAAGATTTTAAACTAGCTTTTGGTGTAATATAATTTGTTTAACATAACAGCTGTAAACATTCAGTGTTTGTAACACAAATTCAGCATTTGGATAAAATTAAAAGACATACTAAGGGTTGACCTATTTATAATATATGCATTGCTAATCATTGATACGTTCAATCCTTCGATAAGAGGATGACAGATTATTTAAATATACATAGGTAAAATACTAGGATGTTCAAAGGATTTTTTAAATAAATCTTTGTAATCTTCGGTTTGTTTTAGTGCAATATAATTTTCTTTTAACTAACAACTGGTTAAATATAAAAATGCTCTGTAGAACTATGAAGTTATTTTATTTACTCTGATTTGTCATTGATTTTTAGGAAATAAGTAAGATTAGTAGACCACCGAGAAAAGTAACACCATCGATGTATACAAGTCGGGGCTCTGTACACGAGTCTTAAAAAAAGGATATGCAAATAATTATACTGCTCAACCTTTTTAGGAAAGGGTAGGAAAATCCATTTTTACACGTCTTGGTTTGTTCTTGCAATCTTGCAATCTTGGTTTGTTTGCAATCAATGTTTTTGAATGATTAAACTGTGTTTGGATTAGGCCCGGAAATATTGATGCCATAAAGAAGGAGATCAAGAATCCTCAGGAATACAATTTTGAATTACCACCACAACCCAGACGGGTTTTATCCAAAGATATACAGATATGAACGACATAGATTGAGCACAACGTCATCATTGACCTAGGATACTGCAATTAGACTAACCATCCTTTTATGAAATCTAAAAAGTTGTTTGGCGTGTGTTTAGTTGTGGTTACGTTTGGAGGCGCTGAATATTTTATAGTTTAAATAAATGAATATGGGGAATTACGGTGTACATTGATTCAATGAGGGTGGTTTAATGATTAAGGATATTAGAACTGATAACGGAATGGATAATAAACATAGAAAATTTATTACGTCACTAGCTTTACTAGCGTGTTTTACGTTTTAAATTCCTTCACCATGTGACCAGTTCTTTTGTTCAAATGAATATTATTTTATTTTTGACTCAGCTGTTTACCAAAACAAACTATATGTTGTTGTTTTTACTTTTCTTTGTTTACACTTATTTATTTAGCAATTGATGCAGTGAAATTGATATAAAGGATATGTGTGGACGATTCGTTTAATGATGTCAGGACACCAACGTTATAATTATGTGTACTGTGAATTTTATTGGATGTTTTCGTTTTATTTTAGGGAGTTTCTATTCAGACCTACTGGAAATTGTGTATAGTATGAGTAATTAATTGTATTGTGTTGATATTTATTATGGAAGAGGCAGGTATGCAATGGAATTGGAAGGTGATATCGTTGACTAGGCCTATACACTTTCTCAATTGATAATTACTCTTTCTACTGTAGGCTGCTATAAAATTTGTCTTTATACGTGTAAGCTAGCTGTTCTGATTTATACACAGTTTTAACTGACTACTCCCGTACGTAGGACGGGCCAACACCTCGTTATATATATTATTAAAGTGATACAAACAAATTTTATGTAAACGAGTAAGGCCATTTACCAAATAAAAATATAGGCATATGGCACATCAAAATGAAGCTTAGAGTGTGTAGATTTGCCGAAAAGTATTTATACGGACGAATATCCTAAGGGCTCTGCCCCACAGGCTGATTTCCAAAGAACTACACTTGGCATGCTTCCAAAGTTTAAATGATTTAATTTAATTTAGTTAATGAAACAGCTGGTCAGTACAATGAACTGGTGTTTGTTTATTTACTCGAAAAATATGTTTGTGACGCTTTATGTAGATTGAGGAGGGTTATGTTTGTTGGTTTTAATGAAACGTTGTATACGTTTTGTAAAGTATTGCTCAAAGTTTAATTTTGTAATTTATATAGTAAGCTACATGTAAGGAGGCTTGACCAAAATTTAAGAATTGAGGTAAAACATGTCATTCATGAAGCATCAATATGAAGCAATTGATGCTATTGTTACACTAAGGTGTGTTGTCATATTGTTTGGATCTATTGGCATTAACAGTAGGGGTTTGAAAGTAAGTAGGTTTACACTTTTAAATCAGTTTATATTTTCAAACTAAATCATAGAGTTGCTTTTTTTTTAAACACACATCAGCACCACTTTAATAGCGCTCTATGTCACATTTTCTTCCCGTTGCAAAGTACGGGTATAGCAGCTTGTCACTTATAATTTGGAGACAATAATTAAATAACAACTTATACATTAGTTGATTTGGAAATTAGGAGTCACGTCTCTATTTCACAGTGAGTATTCTCTAAATGGACAAGTACTTTTATAAGAGGCTAGAGTAAGTTTAAAGTATGTTTAAATATTGTCAATTACAAGAAAAAATGCCAAAAATGCCAGTTTGTTTGTTTTGATTTAACCTCAAAATTTGACACGTATGAACACATGATCGCACTACAGCCAAAAAGGTTCATCTTCAAAGATATTCCACCACACCTTAATTAACCGCTTCTAGCTAAATAAATCCGACTGTACATATAGGCCTACTGAGAATTAATAAGGGCAATTTTTATTTTATATGAGATTGCATGAGGAGGTATCTATTTATATTTTGGTAATAGGCTATCTTTATTGTTTATTTATATATACATAATTATATCCAAATTTATGAACTGTTTCAATATTAGGCCTAGTCAAGGTAAATAGAACATATATTTCTAGGGGAGAGACAACATGTGAAGGGTTGGTGCTTCTGTCCATGTTGATACTCAAACCTGAGCACATGGTTTATCCACCAACCAATGGAATTCCAACACAATCAAAATGTTCAAGAACAGTTCCACTTAATTGCTTTATACTTTCAATGAGGTTAAAACAAGTAACCTAGGCTTTATTTTGTCAGGAAATATAAAGCGTACACCTAAAATAATAATACATTTATTTAGCCAATGAACAGTTTCATAAACTTAAAAAATAACAACAGTTCCTAGATTAATCAAAACAAATTTCTGCAGATCGGGCAAGTAGATTTGTTGCTGGTTGTGAACCACTTGTACTGTAACAGAAAACAATATATTTAATTTCTAAAACTACTAGAAAACTGCTACTTTCTACTTGCTTCAGTAGTAAGTGTGTCAGACTTGGTTTAGAGTTGAACATGACAACTTTAAGGAAATATAGAAGTTTGAAACGTTGATATTCTGAAGCACAATGATTTTTATTTTGTCCACGATGTATAAAAATTATGTTCTCAGCATGTTTTGAACAACTTTTTGGCCTTTCAAATAACATTCAATGTCAAAAATACGTTTTTATAAGTCATAAGTATTTTATTGCATAAAACATTCTTCATTACAAAGGCAATGGGGAACAGATGCATGGTCAATCAGTAAGTTGTAAAAACTAAAAGTAATAAGTTACAACAAAATACAACAAGAACAGCACAATTGAGAGAAAGTTACCAATTCAAACAAGTTAGAAAAAAGACAAATTTAAATGAAGATCTTGAAGCAATATCAGAGAAAAAAAAACAATTAAAAACATTCTGTGTCATATTTTACATAAACTAATGGTCAATTAATGTCACGGTCATTTAGGAAATCTACCAGGAAGTAATATGATTTCTCCAACAATAATGATTTAGTCCAAATTTTAAATTTTGGTGGTGTATAGGATTTTATTTTTGAGGGGATCTTATTATATAGACAAATCCCCATATAGATGGGGTTTTTTTCAAAATGAGAGTGTTTATGAATTGGATAATTTAGCAGATTTGGGTTTCGGGTATTATAACTATGAGTGGGTTCAGTTTAGCCGCCAAATTCATCAAAAAGTGTATTATTTAAATGAACAAAATTTACTGTTTCATAGATGTACAAAGAGGTCAATGGCATTATTTTTAATTCCTTAAAAGAACGACGACAGCTTGATCCATATTCTGCCCCTATCATCACTCTAATAATACTTTTTTGGACTTTAAAAACTTTGCTAATATCCCCTGAGTTTCCCCACAGAACAATTCCATAACGAAGCAGAGAGTGTATATAAGCATAATAAATAATTTTTAATATTGCTAGTGACACTGAATTTTGAATACATTTGATTGCAAACCTAAAAGAAGTCAACTTACTAACCAAATATTGAATGTGAGATTTCCAATTGAAACTTTGATCTATATTAATCCCAAGAAATTTATATTTATCCGTGATATTAAAATCCGTTCCATTGAGTTTGTGGTTATTGTTAATTCTGATACGGAATTGCATAATGTTAGATTTAGATTCATTTAGTAAAAGTCCATTTGATTCAAACCATTTCTTCAGATCTTTTAGTGTTAATTTCAAAGTGTTTTCTAATGCAGACAGGTTTTTTTCCTGAACTATTACACTTGTGTCATCAGCAAATAGTATGAACCTTTTGGAAATATGTGCTGGTAGGTCATTTATATATATAAGAAAGAGTGTGGGTCCTAAAATGGATCCTTGAGGGACGCCAAATTTTACTGTAGCCCAGTCCGAGTAAAAACGGGTTGCCCTATCAGTGATAACTGTTCTCTGCTTTCTCCCCAAAAGATATGATGTTAATAGCTTAAGAGCCGACTCCTCAATACCTATACTGGCCATTTTTTTAATCAGCATCTCATGATCCACACAGTCAAAAGCCCTGGACAGGTCACAGAAAATCCCCGCAGTAAACTGTGACCCATCCAAGGCCCTCGCTGCATCGCTCACAAAGTTTATCAAAGCTAATTCAGTACTTCTATTTTTCCTAAACCCAAACTGTTCAGCCCCAAGCAGATTATTACTTTCAAGAAAATAAACAATTCTATAATGAAGAGCTTTTTCAAAAATTTTTGATACATAAATAAGTAAAGATATAGGTCGGAAATTTTGAATGTCATTTTTTATTCCTTTTTTAAAAATTGGTTTTATCTCTGACAGCTTCAGCTTAGTCGGAAAGGTACAAGTTCTAATCGCTAGATTAAAAATATAAGTTAAAATAGGGCTTATCACTTGAACAGACAATTTTAATAAATGAACTGGAATGTCATCCCATCCACAAGATTTTGTGTTATTTAGACCTAAGATAATTTTAGCTACCTCTTCCACTGACACAGGTGAAAATTCACTTAAATATTTTGTCTTACATGAAGGGATTTTAGATTTTACCTATGCCCCAGAGATGCTATGAAGATATGCTATGAGGCTGATATAGATTTTAAGATCTGTTGATACACTTACGAGGCAGTGGGAGTGGAACTTCTTGCGACAGGTCTGACAGGACAACTTGGGCAGTTGGTGACTGACGCTGTGCAAGATGGCGAAACAGATGTAGCACTCCTCGACTCCCTCAAACCTCTTGTCCAAGCTGTTCTTCCACAACTCTAGTGCATCCCAGATGGATCCGTTCTGCAACAAGACACAAGCTACATGAAAATAATATGAACTAAACAAATTCTTATATTGTGATTTTGTAAAATTATTACTCATTAAATTATTAATTAAGCTGGATAGAAAAAAAGCATAATACAGGGTAGAACGAGATTAGTGTTAAAATATTTTATGTGTTAAACTACTAAGTATTGGTGACAAAATGGCACCAATTTAGGTTTCCATACCATCACAGGTTGGGAATAACAGACATGTGTTGAAGAACTGGAATTGACAGGCATAGCAGCTTACCATTTTCAAAGTTACTTTAAAGTGGGTTTAAACTTATTTTACTATAAATAAATAATAAAAGTGCTTCTTAATAGTGCTCAAAAGTTTTTTATACAGATAAATTTAAAAAAAATAGTGTTTAATACCTGTTAAAAAACTGTTTTAAGGTACTGGTCAAAGTTAACCTATATTGTGCTTTAAAACATTATGGAAAACAACTTGTTTATTGAGTAAAAGCGTCAAAAAGCATTTAGAGTGAAGAAATTAAAAACCACAATTCTATTAAAGGACTTGTATAAAACAACAATGATACAGAACAGGCAAGTAACATATGAATTCAACTAGAAGCATAGTGGACTTACCATTGCATTTTATACACAATTAACTAAAAGAAGTTTTTCTGGTAATAAACAACAATATGAACATCACAAATAGGTAAACTGAAATAAACTGCAATAGGTATCAGAGATAACCACACAACTGCCTAGGTGGTGTATCATAAACTGATAAGCCTCTAGCGCTCAGCCTAGGTCAAAGGCCCAGAACTTTATCAGTGATAAGACACTGGTTCTCTTTTGAATCATAGTGGTAATAGTATATCCTTTTTAAAACACATAGCCAAAATAATTTATTTATCCGATTATCAGTATAATTTATTAAATTTATTCATTAAAAAAAATGGTAAATAAAAAACAATATCCCTGTGGAAATTGTCGTAAGAATGTTGGGAAGTGTAAAGCTTTGTTATGTAAAGGAATTTGTTGTAAATGGTTCCACTTTAAATGTACTACACTTACAGTAGATGAATTTAATAAAATATCTACTGGTCATAAAAAATGGGTATGTGAACCATGCAAGTCCCATGATGTCACTTTAGGAATTGATCAAGAAACAGACGAGTTAAATGCAGATATAAGTCAAGAATTGGAAACTCAAATTGAAATTATTAAAACGTTGAATGAGGATCTAAATCAGGCAAATAAGGAAATACAGGAACTAAAGTCTCAAAAGGCAGCGCTTGAAAATCTAGTGTTAAAAAAAGAAGAGGCCATTATAACACTGGAGGAAAAAATCAAGGAATTGAATACTATTATTAGGAAACCAGTTTGGCCAGCATTAAAAAACAATAATAATGTTTCTAAATCAAAACAGATTTTTCCAGTAAGTCAATCTACACCTAGAAGTATAAATAAGCCGAATGTCCTAGCTCAACCATCAGTTAGTTTTACAAGTAACTCAATTGTACATGAAGATGTCGAAACCCAAAATCGCTTTGCAAGTCTTGCCATGGAAGATGAGGCTATTAAAGATGCTGCAAATAATACAAATCTCAAAAAGCACTCTACTAAAAAAATACTTGTTTGCGCTGACAGCCATGGGAGAGATTTAGCATGGCACTTAAAAAAATCCCAAAAGCTGTATGAAACACTAGGATTTATTAGACCAGGTGGTCGAACAAATCAAATTTTAAATACAAATAATATTGAGGGTGAAAATCTTAGAAAAGAAGATGCTCTAGTGATCATTTGTGGTACAAACGATGTGGCTAGAAATGAAGCAGATGAATGTGTTGAGGGTATATCGACTTTCTTGGACAAATGGAAACAACAAACTGTGTGTATTGTGGATTTGCCAATGAGATATGACTTGCCAAATTGGTCATGCGTGAATAATGAATTACGAAAAACCAACCTACGACTCAAAGAACTTTGTCAAAAACACAACAATGTATTTTTTGTGGAAGCTAGCAAAGCGGAAAGACATTTGCATACACGCCAAGGTCTCCATCTCAACAACAAGGGAAAGAAATGGCTTGCGGATAGGATAGCTGAGGCGGTTGCTGCTAAGGAGTACGACCGTCCAGTGAGTAGGCCTACACACGATGAACAACCTCCCCCACCAGGCACTGAGTCTCAATCGGGAAACGTCTCTCCACCAACGCAAGGCAACGTACCCTAGGTCTATCTAATGAATGTCTTAGTATTTATCATTGTAATGTTCAATCTATTAGAAATAAGTTAAACTTAATTGATGCCTTTTTGACAAATCTTAACTGTGATATTTTAACTATTAATGAACATTGGATGTTCGAAGAAGAATTTGCTTTTTACATTCCTTACGGGTATAACTTAGGTAGTTTTTGTGGTAGAAATAATTCTCTTACAAGAGGTGGTGGAAGTGCTATATATTATAAGAGAGGCATTGAGGCTCAAGCGTTAGATGTAACACAGTTTTACCAGGATAATATTTTTGAGGTAACTGCAATTAATTTGCCAGGAATTAATGTCATTATATCCACCTTGTACAGAACTCCAGATTCAAATATCAACCAGTTTCTTAAAATACTAGACACTTTTTTATTACACTTAAATACAAAATATGTTGGTTCAAGATATATTATAACTGCAGATTTTAACATTAATATATTAATCAAATCAAAAGAAAGAGATTTCTTCCAAAATGTATTACGATCCCATAACATTTACTGGTTAAATGAAAATCCAACTAGGGGTGATAAGTGTTTAGATAATATAATAACCAACATTGATAGAAAGAAAGTAAATTGTTCTGTAATTGAACCACACTTATCAGATCATGCAGGAGTGTTTGCAAAATTTAATGAAATGAATGTCAACAGGACAAAGTCCAATAATATCACAACTAAAACAATAAGGGATACAACTCCTAGAGCACTCTCTAACTTAAGGAATGAACTGTCACAAATTAATTGGATGCAATTAGCACAGTTTAACAATGTAGATGAAGCGTTTAACCATTTTAATTTATTATTGACAAATTCTTTTAATGAAAGCTGTAGGTTTAAGGAAGTTAAAATAAACAATCATGGCAAGCCCAAGTTGAAGTGGTATACACCAGAGTTACAGAGGTTTAAGATATATGTCACAACTTTTTATGACAGGTATAGAAGTTCTATGGGTACAACAAACGAAGGAGTCCATAAACTAGATTATTTGAAATTAAAGAAAATGTATAAAAAAAGGATTAGTTATTTTAAGAAAATTGCAAATGATAGGTATATTGAAAATTCTTCAAACAAATGTAAGGCAGCATGGAGTTTGATAAAAGCTGAATCAAATTGCAGAAAAAATAACCAAGATGTAGTTTTAGACTCAAATACTTTAAATGCTTATTTTGTTAATGTAGTCAATGAATTAAATAAATGCAATGTTAGTGATATGTCTAGTAGTCGTGCAGTAGAATTAGTTAATAATTTTGTCTCAAATAGAAACTTAGGCAATGAGTTTTTCAAGTGGCAAAAAATCAATACTGTTGATGTAATAAGGTGTGTAACTAGCTTAAGTTCCTCACGAAGTGAAGATTATTATGGTTTTTCTAATAGGGTTATCAAAGAAATTATTAATGAAATAGTAGAGCCACTAACATTTCTCTTCAATAAAATGATGGATAAGGGTATATACCCTAAAAAACTTAAACTTTGTAAGGTAATGCCAATTTATAAAAAAGGTGAGAAACAAAACCCATCCAGTTACCGGCCAATCTCTCTTGTACCCATACTAAGTAAGATCTTTGAAACCTGCATTAAAGCACAGCTCAATACATATTTTATCAATAATGATCTTTTTTGTGATGAACAGTTTGGTTTTATGCAAGGTAGAAGTACATGCAAAGCAGTAGAAAGTATTGTCAGTAAACTTTTAATGAACTTTGAAAATAAACTTCTTTCGTCCGCAGTACTAATTGATTTAACAAAAGCTTTTGACTGTATGCAACATGAGCTTCTTATTAAGAAACTGTACAGCTATGGTATAAGGGACCAAGAGTTGAATTTGTTAGCTTCTTATTTAAGTGACAGAGAGCAAATGGTAATCCAGGGCAAAGACAAATCTAGCTTTAAGAAAATTGAAAATGGTGTACCCCAGGGGTCAGTGCTTGGGCCACTACTATTTATCATTGCAGTTAATGATTTCTCTTTCAATATTCCTTGTACCTCTGTTCTTTATGCAGATGATACAACACTCCTAAACAGCCATAAAGATGTAAAGGAACTTAAAAAAATTGAGAGTCAGGCTTTACTAGTTGCACAAGAATGGTTCCAATCCAATCATTTAATTGTAAATAACCAGAAAACTGAAAATATAATTTTTACTCTTAACTACTCTATTTATAAGGATATTAAATCTGTGAAGTTGCTAGGCATATATTTAGACAGCAGATTAAGTTGGGATAGTCACTTAGAGCAATTGTGTAAGAAACTGGCCAGAGTGGTTTGTCTTCTCAGAAAACTAAGACACTGTGTTACTGCAGATATGCTGATTACTGCATACTATGCTTTTTTTCATTCCCATCTACGATATGGTATAACCTTATGGGGCAACTCTTGCAGTGCACAGACTGCTCTTGGATGGCAAAAAAAGGCACTGAGAGCAATCAAGAATAAACCACAAAGACAGTCTTGTAAACCAATATTCAAAGAATTACAAATAATGACTTTGCCTAATCTATATATTTACTGTTGTCTAATAGATGTTAAGGAGTCTTTGAAAAATTTTACAACTAGAAACGAAACTCATCAGTACTATACTAGGAATAACTATCAATTAGATTTAGCTTTTGTAAGATTGGAAAAAACAAAGAGCAGCCACATATGTATGAAGATACAGCTATTCAATAAATTGCCAAAAAAGGCATGGATTGTACCCTTTAAACAATTTGTTTCTATTATAAAACAATGGCTTAAGGAAAATGTTTTTTATTCCATAGACGAT